CCTAACCCAGATTAAAAATAAATTTACAGTACACAATTTTATTTTTCAATTCCACCAATATCTCGGGCAAAATTCAAGATATCATTATTGAAGCATATTGTCAAATCTAATGTTTGGAATATTTTATTTCCTCAACTCACACATATCTCTCGCAGACTGTGAAGGTTGCTAGATAAGCTGATTAGTTAAAACGCACAGTATCAGTTCAATTCTGCATACTAGTATCAGTAGTTCACTTGATGATTACAATTCATATTTGAGAGTATGAGAAACACGTGAACAGAGTTAAGATTTCAACCTGCCTGCGAATGTAGCATTGATTTTTTTAGACTTCTCTAAATATTGATCTGGAATACAAGGTTGGTGTTGGTAGAAGTGTTGATTTCATAGTATGGACGACAGGTACTCGTGTGCCTATTGATTAGCATCACCGTTTTTATTTAACAACTTCGCCGTAAATGATGTTTCGGAGTCGAATAACGAAAGGTTGATTCAGTCTGTATTTCTACCGATTCTAAAAATACCCAATAAGCTCCAGAAATTGATGTCTGAGATAATGTATTTCGATTACTCATAAATGAATGAACCAAATGTGAAGTTGAACTTTGCTGGGTGTTTCAGTGAATTATATCCTAGTTAGTATATATACAGGGTATTAAATGATATGAGCACGTTTACAGGAAATACATGAAACCCATTATTTTTTTCAATTTTCACTGATGTCGGGTGATCTGTTCATGAATAAAATAATTGTTTCAAGATCAATCATCAATGAAATTAACTTGGTTCCTTCAATATAAATAAGATATATGTCATTAAATATTGAAAATTACAAAAAAATCGTTTCCTTATCGTAAATTTCCAAATTGGAAAGTTTCGTTAAAGGTTACGTAGGAATAGGGACTTTGAAAAAAAATATTCACATATATAATTCCGTTTCATCTCATCAGTTATGATGAAAGGAATTAAGTTGTCAAAGAAAACAAGTATTCATCTTCTCATTATTTGTTGAATAGGAAAGACAAAATTTAATCTCCAAAAAAATATTTGTGTAAGTCTGGAATATGGTGTTGAAACAATATTCAGAATCAAGATATTAATTTTTGTTATCAAATACAAATCACTTTGCATTGCACTTGTAGAAACACACCACAAATCGTGATAGAGTTGTCTCATGGCCAAAAAGTGACCATGGCTAGTTTCCATATAATTTAATCTCTTCATTAATCAAAGCCAAGATGAAGTTGGGTCAATATCGTTTGTCATATCGAGAGTTTTTGACAAAACAAAAGCGAATTGGTTTAAACATTAGGGTTTCTATGCATCTTCAACGAAGCTACTGAAAAAGTGACGCGTCATTACAATTCCCAGTTAGAAATTTCGATTGTCCTTAGAATTCTGATGAATTTATCAATCAGTTTAGGTCATCAAATGTCTGGGCTATTGGCTTTTGCGAATCAAATCTGAGGTATTCTTAGATAACCTTGTTTTTATATTCAAATTTCAGTAAGGAATTCTTGAAATTTTGTCGTAAGTGTGGAAGTTGATATACGAATAGAAACGAACATGTTGTATTAACTTTTTTTAGATTTGAAATTGTATCCGGTTGGTTCAAAGGGTATATTACAAAAAAGAAGAGTCAAGTAGTCAAAACATTGAAGAAGTTTTTTCATTTTTCTAATATAATTTTCAATGTATGAGCACTTATTTCTACTTGACCTTAAATAATTTGCGTTTTCACTTTTTCACGGGGCGAAATATATTATATCCCCTATTTCTGGGGTCACTTTTGATTTTTTCCCAGTAATTTTTGTATCGGGTATCAAGTATTTTGCAATAGATCCATAGATCAAGTGCCTCGCAGAAGTTTCAGATAAATTATATGAAAAAATATTCCAGAAAAATGGCCGGACACGTCGAATTTGATTTCAAGGCATGTAATTTTCTACTCTAATTTCATTCACCTTTCTAGGCATTCAATTTTGGCAAATTCCATTAAATATAACAAGTTTGCCGCTGTGGCATACATACTGCAAGCTACGTGTTTGATAACATTATAATTGAATTAAAGACTTTCTAGATGAAAGGGACTTCTGTTCCAAATTTCATTGGTCAGGCCTCGATGTGTTTTAACTCTTTGAAGAGTTCAAATTCCTATTCCAGGCCATTAAGAGTTTTTATGGCATATGGTATCACCAGAGTTAACGTCATTTTAGCCATCACTTAAAGAAGGGTAATCGTAACCGAGACTATATAGTGCCTCGCAAAGGTACCGGATACATGTAATTTTCAACCACTCTTCCCACCCCGCAACAGAGTGGGAACCCCACTCTTTTGCGGGATGGGAAGAGTGGTTGACCATAACCCCAACATCAAAAATGGCGAAGGGGTATTTTTTGAAAAGATTAGTTTTTCCACCATTTTTCGAATAAAGATGGAGAAATAAAAGTCAAAAAGCATTTTCCCCAGGTTTTTTTTGTACTGAATTCAGAAAAGGTTGTCAAAATCAGTCCATTAATAATGTATATTTTATTCATCAAAATATATTTAAATAAGAAAACAGAATTTTTCAAAATAACACTGAAAAAGTGTTGAAAACATTGTAATGGAAAACATTGTGTGGTGATTGAATGGATATCTTGAAGAAGAGACTCGAACATCAGCGCAGTCAAATATTATAGGCGTTCGACACTAAAAATGTTTCATCAAATCCAAGCAGAGCACAACTCCCTTGTGAGAATAAAACAACATTTTAGAACTATAAACGAAACTTTGAGGAAATAAAAATGATAATTTTCAACAAGTGCAAGACCTCTAAAACTTCAAGGTGAAGAGATAACTGTTTGAGAACGTGATTCTAGAGTGATACTAGATCTCAGGCTGACCTGGAACTAACATCTAGAAAGAGTTGCAAGAAAGGTGGAGGTAGCACTAATGCTGTCCAGACACATCTACGGAAAGGCATGAGGGTTTAACCAGACATGATGTATTGACTCAACCACCATGGTGGTTAAACCCATGACAGCATATGCATCTATGGTCTGGTCGCCAAAGAAAAAACAAACGACCACTATCAACAAACTAAGCAGGGTGTAAAAATTTGCATGTTTGGGAATAACGGGAGCAATAAACTGAGATACCCTCAAATCATCCTTTACATTTAGTAATAATGGAGGAAGTAAGGGTGGGTCAAACTCTCCATTATATGGAATCGGACAAAACAGAAATTTTGAAATATGTGGAGGAACGAATTTCAAGAATGTTCTTGGACTAGAAGTCTGAAACCGCGAAGAGTGGAGAATAAATAGCCATTCTGGGAACATGCTTGGCAGAAACATCTGGTATACAGACGGGTCGAAAACCGAACATGGAACGGCAGCTGGAAATTATTGTACAGGGTGAATCCTTTTTTTCAGTTACCTTGTCGTTCAGTACACATCAGTATTTCAGGCTGAAGTGTATGCAATGAAGCAATGCACAAGCAAAATTATTTTGAGGCTTCAATGAACTGAGCGGATCACTATTTTCACAGACAGCCCAGAGCTGCACTTGGGGTACATCGAAACTGTTCTTGGAGTGTCGTGAAAAACTGAGGAAACTGGCGGGCAGGGATAGGTTGGCTATATACAGGGTGCCAGTACACTCAGGAACCGCAGGAAACGAAAAAGCTGATGAGTGTTCCAGACACGGAAACTAGACTGGAAAATGGGTCGCTAAGAAACATAGAGTACTGAGAAAACAAACCGGGCACACACGGTTGAATCTTCATAAAGGGACCGTCCGAGAATATTTTAGAACGCCTTCAACAAATCAGGGATCGGCTCACTGGATAATGTCCATTGAGAGAACATCCGAACAAAATATCGCTGTACAACGGATCTTCAACTGCAGGGAATGCAACAAAGGGACAGAGACAGCTTATGTTTTATGCGAATGTGAGGAACTGGATAACAGGAGACGAACAATTTATGGACAACCCAAAATATGTCCAGAAGAATATGATATACATGCAGCAAGGAACCTGTACAAACTAGTACAGGGTACAATATTTTCGGAATGGGTGTGGTAAAAAAGGTGGGACGGCTGCCAAGTATGTAGTTGAAAAAAGCGCCACGGTCAATTTTGCCGTATCGCAGTGTTCGCAATGTTTGTTTTCCTCTAAGGACAGTGGACATCTTACCCCAGATGTCATAGTGAGTTCCATTGAAAAAATAGATTTCTTCATGAGCCAGACTTTTAGTAATAAAGAAAATGCAGTTGTTTGTAAGACATTGCTATACCAACTCCGACAGGGTTTGGCACTCCTACTTGAGTACACCTGTTTTTGATGTATTCAACTTGAAAAAAAACAACTTCTAGTTATCGCAACGAATACTTTGTTCTTGAAATTTTCAAGATGGGTTGGATCTTCTTAGAATGAAGGACTGGGGGGGGGGTTGAAAATCTCATGACCAGATGACAATTTCAACTCAAAAATCATTTTTGTCATCAATTTTTTTATTTCATCCTTCACTTATGGAAAGCAATTTATAATACTTTATAAAAAATCCATCCTTTGAAATCTGACTCTAGCTGTCTTGAGGTCCAAGTTATTTTTAAGAAAACTATGCATTGTTTGTTGTTGCTTTTCCACCAACATGTCCACTACGAAGATCAATTGAAAAGTTTCCGAATCGGTAGTGTTAAACGTTAATATTTTAGATATATTTTTTCTTTTCCGATAATATGTAATGAGTCAGCTTGTGCCTAGTGAATTCACTTCTCAAAACAAAACTGAACATCCAAAATGGCTTATATTTATTTTGCTTCAAGTAAATGCACATAAACTTAAGCTCACCATCGCCATTTTCCTGTTCAGGCAGGAAACTTTTCGAACGATTCTCAACCTATTCCGAAACGTTTCATTTCTCATTCGATACTAATCAGCGTCTCTGAAAGATGATTGTGTAACGATGTGGATTAGTGCAAATGAGACCTGAGATTAGTAAACTGTGATTTAGGTGGACTCATTTATGATTGATCAGGAGTTCGAGGACGATCCCCAGGTAGAAGCAGCCAAGTTCCTTCTAAATCCAGACGAAGATAGAGCAGTAGACCCCGAGACACAAGCGAGGCTAGAGCAACTCCTACAAGCAGCTGGTGAGTTGATATTCTTTTTTGGTTTTTCTGTTGGAATCCTCCAAAAAGCATTCGAAGAATTTTTATTGACCAGGCTCAGATCAGATAAAACAACTTTGTAGAAGATAATTCTGAAGAGAAAGCCAGAGTTGGGTCTCCATTAAGTCAATATTGTGGAAGGTGAAAAGTCTCATTGAAAGGGGCAATAAAATATCTGATTCCTTCACAAAGATGATTGAAAGATATTATCGAATGAAAACTTGCATAGCATATTTTAGGTCTTTGCAGAAAAATCCAAAAACTTTTCATTGGGTTTTAAAAAATCACACGTTATAAAATCGATTTGGAACCACTAACACACCAGAAATTCTTATTAGAAATGTTTTTAATATATATGACGACTTCGACTAACATTCGTTATTTGGGCTCGCGCTGGTTTTTGGCATTGAAGGAAAAGCTAGTTCTCCGTCAATTTTTCGGAAACGTACACCCATCGAATAACTCCAAAACTACCGTAGATACCGAAAATTATCATGCAACTTTAATTATACTGATGGATCCTGTAAAAAATATACATTTTTCTTTCGATAACTATAATAGGGGTAATGTTAAAAAAATGTGGAAATTTTGGTAGAGGAGACCCAAGAAGGGATTTTGCACATTACGCGAGAAAATCATATGGGGAGAAACCTTGTACCCTGTAAAGTACCCCTTCCATATATGTACCCTTCATATAGGGGCGTGCGTTGAGGGTGGTCCGTCAGATTAGTAAAAAAATCGATCCTCAGAAAAACTCGGGGGCATCAGATAAAGGCAAGATAAGTGTATATTTCAATAATCTGACGATTTGAGTGTGGCATAAGGAAATGAATGAATCACGAAGTCCGTAAATTCCATAGTTCAGAAAAAGAGTATAAATTCTGAGTTAATGAATTAGAATATATTTTCAATCGTGGTCGTGGCGTTCACATTATTGGTGTCAAGCTTGTAGGACAGTCAAGTCCAAGTATCTATTTGTGGTTCAGCCTAGCACTACTGATGATACCTATGGTAAGTCGAAACAGCGCTGTCTACTTTTGGATCATGAATGCTTTGTTGTTGGGTTCTGGTTCCGATTTTTAGTTGCATTAGTTGACTAAACTAGGTTATATTTTGTAGCATTCAAAACTATGTAGATAAAATTAAAAAAAATTTGCATTACAATTTCCATTTCATCACTTTCGCCTGAAAGTGATATGCCAACAAATAATAACAAAAACTATAGTGAAGCGACGATGTCATTTAATCGATTCCAAAAAAAGTATCATTTTGTTGAAACAAAAGTATTCAATTATGTGTAAACATTTAACTGTTTCGACCTCGGTTTCGACTTATGAGTGGTCGCATTAGGGAAGACCGGAGCGCCAAATTTTGACTTTAGATTCGTGTTCATCGGATAAAAATGCGTGAGTCATTATAACTACTTAATTTATCTCGAAAACAATCGCGTGCCCAAGTAAAGAATAATTTTTCCTTTGTAAATCCACAGTTCTTTGGAATATTGCTCATAGTTGCTGGAAAAAAACCCTGAATAACCTGGTTCAATTTAGTTTCCAGCAGCGGAGTAATAAAACATGTTCAGGTGGCTGTTCCATAAAGTGAGTCGGTTGAAAAGTGAAAAATGTAGCATTTATTTTGAACATTCAATGTTGCCGTATGATATGAAATACCAAAACTCAATACTTTTTATAGTCGTATCTAAACTGTGAGTAACAAAATTATAGAACGCTGGCAATAATCAGCTGACGTGATTAAATCAGACATCTGAGATATTTTCAATTTTCGCTGGAAAAAAGGACATCGTGATTCGATCCAATGTAATAGTGTTTCAATTAGGTACTTCATTGCCTGAAGAATTTGAATTAATGACAAAGACTTTGCGTCTTAATCAGTGTTGTCATTAATGAATTGTACTTGGTGTATGAATTGAAAAGGCTACTTCAAAAATCATCGATATATGAATTCAAGTACGAGAAAAAAAATTAAGTTGTGAATTCACCAAAACCAGCTTCAGGAAGAAAAACTGTGCCTGTGGATGAATACCACAAACTTGCAAGTAAAAGGAGATTACGTTCATTTTATTTTAAGAAGGAAATACCAACCCTCGACAAAATAATGGGAGCCTTGAGAGAAGATCGAAGTAGGCAGATAAAAGGCAAGAATATTTTCTTGAGCAGTGGAGTGATAAATCATTTATAAGTAGTTGTTCCATAGGAATTTATAAAAATTTTCTTTAATGTCCCCCCCNATATTCCAGAATATATGTCCCTATTTTTCCTTTGCATTTCTTTTACTATGTAGGAGGTAATTCTAAGGGCTTTGGAGAACTCAACCAGGCAATCTTGGCCCACATATTCCTTTCCATAATTCTTTCTACCCTCAAATAATGTTCTTGCAAGTTTTCGAAAGATGTTCTTCGAAACAGCTTAAACAAGTAGACCCGTCGGTTGAAATAAAACTTTTTTTCTCCTTTCCTCCAGGTATTGGACAACTGGCGGCCAAGGATGGTAAGCATCTAGGCGATCCAGAAGTTCTTCGTAGGTTAACATCGAGCGTATCCTGCGCCCTGGACGAGGCTGCAGCCGCTTTGACTCGCATGCGTTCAGACAACCCCAACAGCCGTTCCACTACGTCGAGCAGCAGCCAACAACCGCAGCCCGAGAAGACGTCTTTAGTGGAAGCGTGCACCGACGGTGATGTCGGAACGGTCCGAAAACTGCTGACAGAAGGAAGATCAGTGCACGAAACCTCCGAAGAAGGAGAGAGTTTGCTGTCATTAGCGTGCAGTGCTGGATATTTCGAGCTTGCGCAGGTTAGTGTCAGTTGAGGCATTTGTGATCCAACACCAGAAGGTGCTGTTTCAAACTCACTATAAGTATTTAATTTCCCCGGTTATCTTCAGATCCGTGGGAAACACGGCATTTAAAATAAAATAAGTAAAAAGGAATATGTTGAAGGGTTTTATTGAAAAAAATATAATAATGATGTAGATGTTGATAAGTCAAAAGGTCCTAGGTAGCAGTCATCACGCCACTCTCCTCAGCAATTTACGATATTGATCGGATAAAAAATAATAAAATCGTTGGGCGTAGTATTCACATATTTACCCAACGATTTTATTATTTTTTTCATCTGATCAATACGGTAGATTGCCGAGGAGAGTGGTGTGATGACTGCTACCTACCTGCTACCGAATTATTTTTTAATTTTTAGTACATTATCTACACCAACATAAAAAATTTTGTACGTATTTTAATTTCAAGTTTTTAGTTTCTAATTTTAAAACACCCTAATGTCACACAGTTCTCGTCACGTTTCAACCTTTTACCTTAACTTGGGTGGTGTATCTGTAACCACGTATCATTTTTAGTCACCCTAACGCCACATATTCCTTGATTTGTGTAGGAGATCCATGCTCGTATCTCGATTCTAAGTTGACAAAGTTCTTTGTATAGATTATATTGGATTTGCATCTTTTTCATAGTGTACTACTTTTAGTACTAGTCAGGCCCTGTCTTTTAATAACCATATTGAGGCAGTTGTGAAAAAATATGCAATTCGTCATTTTGTACAGTGATACATAATTTAGTAAAAATTGTATTGTCATCAAAACTAAATGTGTGTATAGTTCAAGTAAAAGATATAGTGCCCCCTACCTTCCAGCAGTTCCCCTTCAATAACACACACAACGGCGGTATAATACTCATCGCTACATTCTGTTGGTCATCGTAACATGACTTCAAATTTAATTTTTTATGACCCTTCAGCCAATCATTAAACTCGGTTAGTGAAAATTATACAATACGAACTTCCAATTCTTCAGTCCCAGTTGGTTTATTCGTTGCGGCATAATTCCTTTGTATTGGTTTTTTTGGCCTTTGACTTCGCCGACACCTTTAAGATTACTATATCAGTTACTTCGACTATACCAAATATCAGATCATTCTGTCAACAGGAAGGGGGTCAAACTTCAATGACTAAATTTGACCCAAACAAACAGGACAAGCTAAATAAAACCGTTTGATAAGAGATACCATAACACTCTTTAGGGAGTCCTTTAAAATGTCAGTTGTGAAAAATGGTGAATAAATATTGCATATTAAAAAAAATATGTGGAAATTAGAACATTAGTTCAAGAAATTGTAGAACCTTTCAATCATAACATTCGACAATTATTCATCGGATTTATCTGATGATAACACACCATAATTTTTGCCTATACCTACCTAATATCTTCTCAAATGAGCATACCTATAATTATGTAAATATTTTAAATTAATGTTATAACAACATTGATTATACGGGGCGTTCCAAATTAAGTCGGCACCATTGCCAACTCCGTTATTATTGATGCTACGAATTCGGTTAAATGGGCAAAATAGTAGCATTTTTAATTGCCTTCTCGATGCCGAAAACAAAAAAATAATTGACTGTCAAAATATTTCATAAAATTATATTTTTTCAAATGGAGCATCCTATATTTTATCATGCATTTCGATTCGTATTAACATTCTCAACAACAAAGCTCATATGACCTTTTCTTCTTGAAATTGAAAACGGCTGACTTATGTGGAAATATTTCTTTCTTTCACTAGTACAAAAAATTTCTTTGTTTTGGCGAATAAAGAGCTATAAAATATCGAGTAAATATTCAAAACCACCGCCTTCTTGTTGAAAACATATTTGGACCCTTCTTTTGACACTACGTGTTCCTTTCAACACAATTTGGCCGTCAATTCTATCAATTATAGTTTCAATATCATTTTTCAGTTCATCTATATTTTATTTTGTACAGCTCATTTTTCGGAAATTCCCAAAAATGAAAATTTAGAGGGGTAATATCTGGTGAACGAGGAGGCCACTTAACACTTACATTTGTAGCAATCCAGCAGTTTTCAAAACAGTCTCGCAACATTTTTACGCCTCTGAAATTATGTGCTGGTGCTCCATCCTGCTGAAAATAGATAATCTGACGAGCCTCCAGATCAAGATCATCTAAAAACTTTTTCAACACTCTTGTTAATGATTTAATGTAACGGGGTCTGTTCAAAGAACCATGGTAGAAAAATAGACCGATAATTCTTTTTGTAAATAGACTTCACCAAACATTGATACTAAATGGATTATGTCTACTCCAATAATGAAAATTAGTTCTATTATATATCCCACAATTCAAAAAGTTTGCCCATCGCTCCATATAATATTTCTATAGAGGTTTGGATATTGTCTGCATTTATTCATAAACCACCGACAAAACCCAAATCATCTGACGGGGTCACCAGGTTCTAGTGTTTGCACTGGTCTTGACTTATAAGATGAAATCTTTTATTATGTTCCTTCAGAATTCGTTGAATAACAGACGGTGGAACAGCTAGATAAATCTCTGATAGAATTATTTGGATTTACCTCAAAGTAGGCTAAGACATCAATTTCTGTATCTTCAGATATTACAAAACGTTTTTCAGTTCTCCTCTTCTCGAAAACGTGTTCATTTATCCTGAATCGAGGATGAAGCCAGCAAAAAAACGCCGAATAGATAACTCACGATTGGGAATGAATTGCTGTAGTGCTCTTACCTGCATGATAAAATATAGGGTGTTCCATTTGAAAAAATATCATTTTATGAAATATTTTGAAAACGCGACTGTCATTTTTTTTCTTCTCGGCATTGAAAATGCCACTAGCTTGCCCATTCAACCGAATTCGTAGCGTCAATAATAACGGAGTTAGCAATTGTACCGACTTAATTTGGAACAGCCTGTATATAAATAAATGAATAGTTAAACATAGTTATTAGTTTCACCTATTATTTTTTATTGAATACCAAAACGCACGCATCTGCAGGTGTAAAACTACCCTAAAGCTCATAAGAAATTTTGTTTGGGACCCGTTTACGATACAAAAATAGGGTGGAGCCAGTTAAATATCATGCACCCGCTTATGCCAGCTGTGGCAAATAATAACAAAATCATTTAAATTTTGTTTGACCACTCTGTTAGCGTTTAGCTTAGCCTTATCCAATATTTCCTTTTTTTTTTCATTCAATTAATCTTCAGGCTTAACTTAACGATATCAATCTATTTTCATATTATTCAGTCAACTTATTTGAACAGAAAATCTAAATCAATTAGCCAAAAAATAAATACAATAAATGAGATATAGAGTATTCATAAAGTGCAGTTTAAAGTCAAATCTTCCTGATAAACTCGTTGATTTTTGTTGATAAAATCTCAGCATTATTATTTACTTGTAAACTTAATTAACAAATTTGATTCATATATCATTTGATATCGGATTTCACTTTGAGTTCTTTGTACTGTAAATTGTAAAATCGATTTTCAAATGTATAATACCTGAAAAAAAAATTAACGATTTGCATACATTTCATTAAATTTGTATCATGGGAAATACAGCATGATAACATTAGTTCATCACATGGAAGTAGCCATACGATTAGAAAACTTGTCATAGTTTCCCAAGACGTATTATTCACATCGATCGTTTATACAAAAGACTGATACAATCTTATAATTGGCTGAGAGCTATTCACTTCAAGTAGGCGTTTTCTCGTACATACCTTTTTACGGGAGAGATAAGTTTTTGTTAAATTTTATTACATGTGTATAATAAAAACAAAAACATATCAAAAGTTTTTTATAAAATAGCATTTGATGCCAAACAAATTTTGAAATGCACATGGAAATTAGTTCCGCCAACAAAGGAGGGTGCTGCAAGCAACTTCATCGGACCAGAACCTGTCATTGGCATCGCTTTAGGCTTTGCCAAACAAACATTAAAGACCTGGATGGCAAGAAGATTTAAGTATAGACTTCTGGCAGAATCTTCCAGGATTGGCTCACTCCAAGGCGTCATTCCCCCTTCGAAGCTTGATACCAAACAGTTGTTGGACTACAGTAGGGATGAACTACGATGCCTAACAGGCCTTCTCACAGGCACTGTCATTTGAATCATCATACTTTGTGCCTGCCCCGCTGGGGACTGAATCAGTTTTTCAGAGTTTGGCAGAGCCGTACTTTTATCATCTGACCTGAAACACCACTCACCCTACAAACTAATCGGCTTCGTTAAGAAGCTGGGTTTATTTGGTCGAGTGTGAATAGGTTCGAGCCACAATAAACCCTTGCGGGTTGCGGTGGACGGTCTAATTGCCCCTCTCACTTTTGACCTAACCTTACCTAGTTCGGCCAAATAAACCCCATATAATTTATTTCTAAAATATGGTTACCTTTGACTTTTCTTCATCAACAAATCAAAATGACTTTATTAATTTCCAAGTCATGCATCATGTGTGTCCCCATTCGATAAATACGGTTTTCGCATTAGTCATTAGTCATTTTTGACCGATTTGTTTTTTTTTTTATTGAAACCAATGGTTTTTCGTTGCAAAGAAATTTGTGGAATTCTGGCATGAAAAAAATTTTTTCCTTCTAAATCTGCTTTCAAAGCTCTTAACCTTGGAATAGTTATCCCCGCAGGGATGGTAACTCTAAACAAACTGACTATCACGAGAATTAAAAACAGTTGCTTGCATATATTGAAATTTATCTTCGTTTGTAAGATGTACATAGTAATATATTCGTTTAAATTGGGTGCAAAATAGAAGCCAGCTTTTCACATCACCTCCAAATTTCTTGAGTTCGATGGTGGGCAACTTCAAGTTTGTGAGAAGTTAGATATTAGTGTTATCGGAAGAATACTGCTTTCGAAACTACACTTCAATTCGTCGTATTTCGTAATGAATTCATCAACCAATTAATTTTCATTATTTCAAGAATCTGGGTCTTTTTCAGT